CACTCTACTAGACACACATTCATACAGCACTCTACTACACACAGATTCATACAGCACTCTACTACACACACAAACTTTCACACAGCACTCTACTACACACACATTTATACAGCACTGTACTAGACACACGTTCATACAGCCCTCTACTATATCTCTACAAAGATAATCTGAATCTGCAGAGATTAATCAGAGCTTTAGATCACATTCCTACACTTCTGGGACACACATCAGAGGCAGTGAGGGGTTCAGTGTCTTGCCCAGGGACACGTCAACTTGTGACTGATGGTTGAATCAAATCCCCAACTCTCCCAATGCAGGACGACTGCTCTAACCACTCAACCACAGCTGCCCATGACCTGTATGTAAAGTCCATTTGATGTTAAATGTTTCTTATTTTAAATTCCCACACTCATTTGTCATGTTGCCACCGTCAGTGTTGTGTAAACGTGAACAAACATTGATCATCAGCACGATGCAACGACATCACAACTCACGCCATGACGATGACAGTGAAGTCGAGCCAGTTCCAAGGATCTCTGAGGAACGTGAAGGGAACTAAACAGAATCCTCTCGCCAAGATCTTTATTGCTGACTCAAAAGTGTAAATTCCAGTGAAGGTGTACCTGGTAAAGAGTTTTGAAAAGAGACACTGAATTAGACTAAACACTTGAAATCATAAATCAGCTCTGAAGTTAACCAACGATGTGAGGCTGAGTAAGATCTGACATAAGGATGATGAATGTGACAACATGTTGAAACAGTTCTAGCAAACCTAAATGACAATAACTGTGAGTATACAACATAATTTTTTAATGTTATGTACTATTTAACATGAATGAAAATATAATCGGCAAATTGATTCCATTTTTCATTTAATTTCTTGGCCAGCTATCTCTTTCTTCCACAGTTATCTGCTAAAGGCAGACAAACAAAACAAACCTTGGTTGTGGACACATGCTTTCCTCACTCATTCTCGTGCAAGGAGGACACTTTTTCCTCCTCCTCCTGCTCTCCTGTCCTTCTGCTTTTGTATTGAGTTCTGTCTTGTGTATCGGAGCTCCTATTTACACATCTTCCAAAACTAAAACTACTGTCATGGATCTGGTCACCTGGACTTTCAACGCAATCGATAAAGTCTTTTCAACCAAGTGACAGGGTCCTGGAGAATCCTCATGCCCCACTGAGATGCATGGCACGATACGTCATGGATTTGTGGGGAGTTTAGGAGCTGATGTGTCTTTCCGTATTATCTCAGGAGGACGCCAAAGATATTTATATAATTGGAACCATGAGAGCAGGGTTTCTGCTATTGGCTATTAAAGAAGATGTCGGCAGCAGTTTCGGCCATGGCAAAGCTGCAGAGTCTGTGTGAAGGTTTGGTTCGTGCTTGGAGAACTCAAAATCAGCTGATTTATGAGTTAAACTGTAAGATGGAAGCGATTTATGAAAATCGTAGGACACCTGCGGCTTTTGGGACTTGCCAGCACTTTGGTGGCTCACAAGCACGAACCAATGGAATGCCCACACGTCTGGCCATTTTGTGATTGAAAGGACCAGCAGAACTCAAGGCTGACAAGAACAAAAAAACAGTCTGCCTGAAGAAAATTGACAATTGTGGCTTATCTGAATCTGACTCCCCGGTTGGCCTCGAAGCAGGCCAACTATCAAATTTCTCCTGGGATATGTGTAAACTAAGAAAGCTCTGTCTATCGCATCCCCTAACCCCCACCTACCCACCCCAAGAACTTCTGTGAAGGCTTATCAGAGCTGTACCGGCTGACACCAACATCTTATCAGGACAATAAACTATCTGGAAGTGCTTCATAGACAAATCTCATCGTCTTGTCGTCAAATGCATATGTAAGGTGTCTATAAATGTGCTGCTGGTAGAGTTTTTAAATCATGTCCTTGTAGGACAAGGAGTGAAGAGATATTTTTTTGTAAAACCACTATCCTCTCCTCATGGCCTTTTCCCCATTTCTAACAGCTTAAATATATCCTTCACAGCCCTGCATGTCTAAAACACCTAAACATCTTTTTTCCATTTCACAGCATGCACTCATAGTGTGTCATATATTCATATACTTACATCACACCTGCATCTGGAGCAGTCACTGATAAAGCATCACAGCCCAGCAAAGTCCACATTAGAAAACATAAAAATTTAAAGGTTAAAGACGGAGCTGCAGCTTTACTCACTCCAGGTATTTGGTCCACGTTGGCGGGTCGGACATGGCCATGAAGAAGCAGTTGGTCAAGATGGTGAACATTATGAAATAGCTAAACAATGTGGAGAAAGCTAAGGAACAATACCGAGCAGTGATGAAAGGAAAGAAAAATCAACAGATCCTTCTTTTTTCTACATTAATTTCAAAATCAAAAATAATTGTTACAAGTTTAGATGTTTCAGATTAAACTGAAAGTTGCCAGAATAACCTTTAAACATGTTTCCTCATATTAGAGATTTGATTTTGTTGTTGTTGTTGTGACAAATAGATCTGTTAGCTAAAAAACACATTTTGTGGGCTAAAAACAAACCATTATTTGATTAGTAGAATATTTTGTGCTCCTATATCCTTTCTGAGATTACCAGAGGGACCAAGGGGGATTTTCAAATAAATAAAAAATAAAAATGAAAAGGGCTGTTTAAAAATGAGACAATAGGGGGGGGGGGGGGGGGGAATCCAGTAAAACCTTTGGACTGGAATTGGATAAATATTAGTAAATTGAAAGATCTGATAGGAAGGGAGAGGAATCTGGATTTTTTTATATTAAAAAAAACTTGTTTTATGTCAGGAGGAATTACATTCCAAAGTCTGGTTGGTACGGTGTTAATTAATTTTAACAACTTAAATTTAATCAAATATAGCATCAACTAATGATTAAACATAACAAAATGGTTTTGTATCTACCAGCACATAAAAACATTAAAATAAAAAGCTCAAAA